ACCACCAGCACCTGCACCACCAGCACCTGGTATCGCCAGCCCTCCCACATTCCAGCTCCTCTCCCACGCACTTTATAAACACGACTCCTTCAGTCATCATGGGCATCTGTGACCTCTGCACTCCTTTGTAAATGTAACGTCTTATTTTTGGTAGTTGTAGATTCACCTGTAGTTACTCGTAAGAAACCGAAAAAGGGGCTCTCGTGTGCCCTTTCCCGTGTCCCCTGTGACAGCCCCTTGAACGCATGTGATGTACCAACACAGTGAGGATACTGACCTTGACATAGTCACAATGCAGATCGTTTCTCTCGCAAGGATCCCTTGCGTCGCCCCGAGGCAGCCGCCTCACTTCCCTCCTGTTCTCCATTTCTGCAATCTTGCCATTTTGAGAACGTTCCATGAATGGAAACACAGAGTGTAACCATTTGAGTCTGGCTTTTCCTACCCAGCACGATTCTCTGGAGACTCATCCGGGTCAAGGAGCATCTGTCCGTTCCTGCCATTTCATGGCTGAAACGTGTCCCCTGGCAGGGGGGGACCCGTGTGTTCCACCTTCACCCATCAAGGGACATGTGGTGTCTCCAGCGTTTGGTTATCATGAATAAAGCTCCTATACACATTCATGGACAGGTTTTCCATGTGTACATTTCTCCGGATAAATGCCCAGGAGTGAGACTCCTGTGTAGAATGGTGTTTGTGTGGTTAGTTTCTTTCATAAGCTGCAACCTGTCTTCCAGCGTGGCTGCACCATTTTGCCTTTCCACCACCAACGCACGAGGCCCAGCGTCTCCACCTTCTCGCCAGCATTTGGTGTCGCCGCTATTTTTTGGTTAAGCAGTTCTCATCGGGGCATCATGGCATCCCATTACTGATTAGTTTGCCTTTCCCAAAGCCTAAGGATGCCACACTGCCTCTCACCTCCTTGTTTACCATCTGTACGTCCGCTTCAGAGAACTGTCTCTTCAAGCCTTTTGCCCATTTTTGGATTGGATCATTTTCGTTTGTCTGTTTTATGTGTTTTGCTGTTGTGTTTTGAGAGTTCTTTACATAGTCTAGATTTGTATATTCCAGTCCTTTGTCTGATATGTGGTTTGTAAATATCTGGTTAGGGTGCAACATTATTTTATTTTTTATTTATTTACTATTATCTTCAGACAGTTTCTCACTCTGTTGCCCAGGCTGGAGTGCAGTGGAGCAATTATGGCTCGCTGGAGTCTTGATTTCCCAGGTTCAAATGATCCTCCCACCTCAGCCTCCCAAGTAGCTGGCACCACAGGCACATACCACCATGCCTAACTAATTTTTTTAAATTGCATTTTAGGTTTTGGGGTACATGTGAAGAACGTGCAAGATTGTTTCATAGATACATTCGTGGCAGTGTGATTTGCTGCCTTCTTCCCCATCACCTATATCTGGTATTTCTCCCCATGCTATCTCTCCCCAACTCCCCACCCCCTGCTGTCCCTCCCCTATTTCCCCCCAACAGACCCCAGTGTGTAGTGCTCCCCTCCCTGTGTCCATGTGCCTAACTAATTTTTTAAAAATATATTTTTGTAGAGATGGGGCCTCACTATATTGCCTAGACTGGTCTCAAACTCCTGGACTCAAGTGATCCTCCTGCCTTGGCCTCCCACAGTGTTGGGATTATAGGCATGAGCCACCATGCACAACCAAAATGGTTTTTGAAACACTGCTGAATTCTATTACGAATAGGATCTTTTTCTTTTCCTCTGCCACAGCCACTGGCTGCCTGGGCTATGGGATGAGGGGCAGAGCCCCAGCTGTCTTGGATTGTGGAAAGTGTGGGCTGTCTTAGACACTGAGATTCTGCTGTGGTTTGTTGCTGCACAAAACCCGGGCCATCCTGACTGACTAACTGAGGGGCTAGAAGAGAAAATGTGTGGAGAAAGGCAGTCTCTACTTGGATATACCAAAGTCTGTACTGCATTAGTCACCGTTCTCCAGAGAAACAGGATCAGTGGGAGATTAGGTACATAGCTAGATGAGAGATAGATAGATAGATACATACATGCATGCATGCATGCATGCATACATACACACATGCATGCATAGGTAGATAGATAGATTCATACCTACATAGATAACATAGATAAATAGGTAAATGAAACATAGACAATAGATACATGGATGGATAGATACATAGATGATAGATACAAAGACACATAGGTAGATACATAGATGAATGCATAGATAGATACATAGACACATAGATACATACATTGATATATAAATACATACATAGGTAGATACATTCATACATAAGTACATACATAAGTAGATACATTCATACATACATAGGTAGATTCATACATACATAGATACATAGATAGACACAATGATAGACAATAAAGACATAGATGGATAGATACATAGATAATAGATACCAAGACACATAGGTAGATACATAGATAGATGATCAATAGATACATAGACACATAGGTAGATAGATACACAGACACTTAGCTGGATAGATACATAGATAGCTACATGGATAGATAGATGCATACATACATAGAGAGATACATAGATACATGCATACATAGATGATTATGAAGAATTGGCCCATGTGATTCTGAAGGCTGAACAGCTCCACGATCTGCTGTCTGGAAGCTGAAGACCTAGGAAAGCCAGTGGGGTCATTCAGTTCAAGTCCAAAGGCCCAAGAACCAGGGATCTGATGCTGTGACACTAAGTCCGAGGGCAAGAGACCAATGGCCCAGCTGGAGCAGTCAGGCAGAAGGGGCCTGCTTCCATTTGTTCTATTCAGGCCCTCAGTGGATCAGAGGAAGCCGTCCCAGTGAGGAGGGTGTCTGCTTTCCTGAGTTCATCGATCCTAATGCTCGGTTCATCCCAGAAACTGTCCTCACAGAACACCCCAAAATAACATTCAGCTACATAGAAAAACTAGCTCATAGACATCAGCAGGTATTTAGCAGAGAGGAAAGGCACACACTTGTGGCTATGGTTACCTCTGTGCCACAAAGGTCAGTGATAGGGTGGGGGCTGGAGAGAGGAGGCGTTTCTCAGTCTTACGCTCCGGCTTCGGCCTTCAGCCTCCTCTGATGGTCTGCATGCCACAGGCTCTTTCTCTCCAGGGTCTCTCCCGGCCTTAGTTGCCTATTGCAATAGCGATGGGCTTTTTGTTGTTGAGATGATCAAGTTGGTTCTAAAATTTAGTTGGAAAAGCAACGGAATTGGGAAAAACAAAACAAGAAGAACGAAGTTGGAGTCTCACGATGCTGGACTGCGAAACCTCCTGCCATGTCACAGTGACGCTGGGTTTGCGTTAGGAAGCAGCACACGGGCCTGCGGAGCAGGACGCAGGAACAAACTCGACATACATGTCAGCTGATTCGCGTTAAAAACACCAAAGATTTCGGTGGGATAACGATGGTCTATTTATTTATTTGTTTGTTTATTTTGAGACGGAGTCTCGCTCTGTCACCCAGACTGCACTGCAGGGCTGCAATCTTAGTTCACTGCAACCTCTGCCTCCCGGGTTCCAGCGATTATCCTGTCTCAGCCTCCTGAGTAGCTGGGATTACAGGCACCTGCCACCACGCCCGAGTAATTTTTGTATTTTTAGTAGAGATCGGGTTTCACCATGTTGGCCAGACTGGTCTCGAACTCCTAACCTCAAGTGATCTGCCCACCTCGGTCTCCCAAATTGCTGGGATTACTGGCACGAGCCACTGCTTCTGGACAGGCCAGGTAATTTCTAAACAACAGAGGCCCTGAGAAGCTCCGTGGGGTCTTCCTGAGTCATCCAAGTCGGGGTGGAAGCTCTCCTCTGAGAAGGCTCCAGTGGAGAACAGTGAACAGGCTGGACCTCTTGGATTCTGGGCCCGGGGCACCCAGGACTGATCCACCTGGGGGCAGCGTGTGGGGTGGAGACAGTCGTGCCCCTTGGCTGTGCCCCTGAGATGGATTTCCCAATGAAGGGATCCTGCCAGGCCACTGACGCTTCGGAGCAATTAAGTGCAAGTTTGTGTCTGTGCCAACATGAACTTCAAAGACCCGGGCTGGGGAGGATGAATGGAGAGGAGGCGGCAAACGCAGTGTGGCCGCCACCTACAGCTCGGCGGGGGTCTTCCTGCCCTTGGGGTGCAGGCTACCGGCCCTGTGGAGGCACTTCTGCCTGGAGCTTGTCCACCCAGAACCCGTGTGGCCACAGCCAAGGAACAGCCAGGGAATACCTGGAGCCTGGAAGCTGGAAGAGGCAGGAAGGAGCCTCCCGAGAGCCTTCGCTGGGAGCACAGACCGCAGCACTCAGGCGTCCATCCTCCGTAACTGTGAGAACAAATTCCTGCTGCCTGAGCCCCCAGTTTGTGGTCATTTGTCACAGGAGTCCCACACAGGGACACGGGCTTCATTCCTGCCTCCAGCTGCCTCCTTTTCTGACACCCTGCAAAGCTCTCTGGACAGTGTCGGAAGAGTAACCCAGCCAGCTCCGTTTTCCCAGCAAGTGTGTCAGGCCCCTCCCAGCCCCATCGCCCTGCACACGCGTGACCTCAGCTTTCATGCGGCCTCAGGCTGGAGGCCCTGCAGCAGCTCCTGGCAGAAGGCTGCCCAGCTGGGGACCCCAGGAGGCAGGAGCTGATCCCAGCCTCCCGCCCTACAGGGTCGTGCATGCCCCTCCTGGCCAAGCTCTCCTGGGTCTCACCGTGGCTGTTCAGAGACGTTCCCCTGATGCCCAGGAGTCCTGTGAGCACCACCACTGGGGAAAGGGGTCTTCTCTTCCATGACACACGGGTGTGGCGTGCACCCGCCAGAGGACAGACGCAGAGCCAGAAGCAGAACTGCCAAACAACAAACACAACGTGATCGTTTCCAGTTTTAAGAAAGCAAACAAAATTTCCCTGGGGAAATGGCACAAACAGGAACAAGGAAGTGACCATGTGCCCAGCTTCACACCTGATCCTGGGTGGGAATATAAAGGCCCCGGACTCAGGGAGCTCCACACTGCACCTCCGTCTCACCTGCTCCTCCACCTGCTCCACCCTCAACCCGTCAGAACCATGGGCTGCTGTGGCTGCTCTGGAGGCTGTGGCTCCGGCTGTGGAGGCTGTGGCTCCGGCTGTGGGGGCTGTGGCTCTGGCTGCGGGGGCTGTGGCTCCAGCTGCTGTGTGCCCGTCTGCTGTTGCAAGCCCGTGTGCTGCTGTGTGCCAGCCTGTTCCTGCTCCAGCTGTGGCTCCTGTGGGGGTTCCAAGGGGGGCTGTGGCTCTTGTGGGGGCTCCAAGGGGGGCTGTGGCTCCTGTGGAGGATCCAAGGGAGGCTGTGGCTCTTGTGGGGGCTCCAAGGGGTGCTGTGGCTCCTGTGGAGGATCCAAGGGGGGCTATAGCTCTTGTGGGGGCTCCAAGGGGGGCCGTGGCTCCTGTGGGGGCTCTAAGGGGTGCTGTGGCTCTGGCTGTGGGGGCTGTGGCTCCAGCTGCTGTGTGCCCGTCTGCTGTTGCAAGCCCATGTGCTGCTGTGTGCCAGCCTGTTCCTGCTCCAGCTGTGGCTCCTGTGGGGGTTCTAAGGGGGGCTGTGGCTCCTGTAGCTGCTCCCAGTCCAGCTGCTGCAAGTCCTGCTGCTCCTCAGGCTGTGGGTCATCCTGCTGCCAGTCCAGCTGCTGCAAGCCCTGCTGCTCCCAGTCCAGCTGCTGCAAGCCCTGCTGCTCCTCAGGCTGTGGGTCCTGTGGGTCCTGCTGCCAGTCCAGCTGCTGCAAGCCCTGCTGCTCCCAGTCCAGCTGCTGTGTCCCCGTGTGCTGCCAGTGCAAGATCTGATACTTGGCCCCAGACCTCAGATGAAGGCCACGCTGTATCTCAGGCCTGTGATGCAGTTGTGAGCTGTGCTTCTCTGGAATAGGACAGTCCCCGGAATCAGGAACAGAGCTTCCCAGCTCATGACACATCTTTGCCCTAGAAATCCACTCCCCCTGTGCTTCGCACCATCACCACACTGGGAATCCTGGGGTGAGCCATTTCCTCTGCTGCTCATCGCCAAGTTCACCCCACTTGCTGGGGCCATACTGCCCTGCCCTTCCTTCTTCCTCAGAGAGCTCCCCTTTCCCCCGTGCACCCCGACCAGTGCTGGAGCTCAGGGAGGCCCAGGAGGCGCAGGCACTTGACCAGTTCCAGATCTGTGGCCTCTCCCGTGGACCCCACTCTCCCACTGAAACGCTCCCTTTGTTATTTCTTATCTGCTAAAGTCCAGCTGGACCCTTAATCCTCTAAATAAACACGCACCCCCCAGCCTGTGTCTCCTTGGGTTCTTTCTGTGTCGTGTCTTTCTACAGAGCCTGGTTCCTCCTGAGCATGGCCTGCTTTCATGTCAGCAGGGGGTGCTGCCCTCCCGGATAGAATTTGGATCTTTAATTGCCACAGTCCCCCAAGGGTCTGTGTGTACCCCAGTATCCACCTGGTGAGACAGTTCTTGTGAAAAAGATCTGGGACCACCTGGGATGTCTGCTGTCCTCCAGGGATGTCCCGGGACCCTGAGAAGGCTACATCCTACAGGGGTGGCTTTGCATCACCGGCTTGGGTCTGGGGTCCCCCCAGGAGTACTTTGTCCTCCTGAATCAGCTGCCCTGGAGGAGACTGGGGCTTGTGTGAACCGAACGCTCATTGTAAGAGGGAGCCACAAACTCAGTCCCACCTGGTAGCTCAGGCAGCTTTGCAGCAGGACCTCAGTAACAGACCCATGGCTCAGGGTGACCTGGGGGGGTCAGGTGATGGGCGGGAGCGTACCCTATGATGGTGACCCCATGCCAGCCTAGCCAGGCTGTGGTGCCCAGCTGTTCTGCCCAACAATCACTCGAGTGTTGCCCATAAGGTGTTTTGTTAATGAGATTAACATTCAACTTCCAGTAAAGCGCTTTGCTTTCCATAATGGGGGAAGGTCTTAGGAGCAAAACGTGAGGGTCCTGGGAAAAGCAGGCGTTCTGCCTGAGGATGGAAACAGAAATCCTGCCTGAGCTTCCATCACCAGGCCGCCCCCCCAGATTTCATGCTCAGCAGCCCCTCAATCAACCGAGCCAATCCTTTCACAGGTGTGATTACAAATCATACTTGCACACATATCCTACCGGCTCTTTTTATCTACAGAGAGAGTTTGGAAAGTATCACAGTCATAAAAGAGGAGCAAACAGCTGTGGGGCCCGGGTGATTAACTCAGTGGCTGGGAAGCACCCCAGACCCAATTCAGGGGCTGAGACAGCCAGCGATGGAAGGAGGGCAGGTGGGGATGAAGAGTGGCCTGAGAGCCACAGGGGAGCCGGAGGGCACGCTGGCTAGGAAGCAAGGGCAGAGGGGACATACCCGTCTGTCCCCAGCCTTCCTGTTACAGGAACGGGCATGCCCTGGGATGAGGGACTCAATGTCATTCCCCCCTAATCCTGAATTATTGTCACAGTCTTTCCCCCAGGACAAGGGCTTCAGGATCTTCCATCTGAAGAGACAGACAGGGCTCTCCGGTCCCACCCAACCCAGGTCCTGGAGGGTCCTTGGTGGGGAGAAGAGAGAGCAGGCATTGGCTCCGGGTCTCCCAGGCTTCCACAGTCCGCAGTTCAAATGAGGACTCCACACTCATTCGCTCCGGGGGCACAGCCTCAGGTGTATGCCGACTTTTCAGGGGGCAATGCCTCCCCCTTCCTGTGCCCTGCCCCTTCCAGTGCCAGCCCACCAGTTTCCCTGTTTTGGAGCTGTGCCTCTGGAAAGATCTTTCTTCCAGCTTCTGGTTGAGCCATTTCTCAGCCTCCATCACCATGTGGAGAAGAGCTGATTGCAGCAGAAATAAGCAGGTGCTCAGATGCTGGAGCCTGACCCACGGGGCTTCCTGACAGCTGGGTAGCTCCAGAAAACAGCACCAGTTCTGTGAAACAGGATCCCATGGCCACAAAGTGAGGGGCTTAAAGCAATACAAATAGATTCTCTCACGTTCTGAAGGCCAGAAGCCAGAAATGCAGGTATCAGGAGGACTGCACTCTCTCCACACGTTCCACAGGAGGCCCCTCCTGTCTTTTCCAGCTTCTGGGCTCCAGTGTGCTGGGGCATGTGACCCGTAAACCAAAATGTACCTAGGACAGGTCACAGTCCATTTAGAAGGTGTATTTTGCCAGGGTTGAGGATGTGCCCATGACACGGACTCCAGAGGTCCTCATGACATGGGCCCAAGGGGGTCGGACACAGCTTTGCTTTCATGCATTTTAGGGAAACCGGAGACACCCATCAAAATACGTGAGGTGCACATTGGTTTGTTTGGCAAAGTGGGACAACTGTGAGTGGGAGGAGCTTCCAGGTCACAGGTAGCTAAGAGACAAACCTGCATGCGTCTGAGTTTCTGATTAGCCTTTCCCTGAACGCTGTTTAGAGGAATAGTCACTCATGCCTTAGTGTGACTTAGTGAAGTGATAGGGCAAAGGCAGCCACCAGATTTGCATTTGTCTCACGGGAGCAGAGGGAGGACTTTGAGTTCTGCCTGTCCTTTGTCCACAGGGAATTTCTTTGTGGGCAAATGGTGAGGGAGGTGCTTCTTTACCTTTGCAGCTGTCTTACTTGGGAATAGAATGGGAGGCAGGTTTGTCCTGTGCAGTTCCCAGCATGACTTTCCCTTTGGCTTTGTGATTTGGGCAGATTTTTTATTCACAGGCGGCATTGCTCTGACCTGTGCCGCCACCATCACAGCCTCCTCCCCACATGTGTCTGTGTCTGTCTTCTTGTCCCGCAAGTCCTGTAATGGCACCAGTCACGTGGAAACAGGGCCATCCTAGTGACCTTATCATAACATGACATCCGCAAAGTTCCCATTTCCACATAGGATCACACTCACAAGTCCCAGGCATTAGAGCTTCGATATATACTCAGTAGACACGTATATTAAAGTACATACTTCAACACGTTCAATGCACAACACACATCTACCATGCAAAAAGCCAACCGGCTCATTCTGTGCCATGAAGATGTTTCTTGGGTTATACTGTAGGCTCATGTTTACACAACTGTTTACCTTCCCAGACCACAGAGACCAGGTTATAATGTGTGCTGGAGGGTGGGGGGAGTGCAGGGAATGAGGGAGGTTGATCCCTCTGGCCCCAGCTGCCTGGTGGTCCCCCATCCCTCCTAAAGTATGCAAATCTAAGACCGTTTAGCTGACAGCTATGCAGAGTTATCAAGAATTGATACAACCTATTGAAGCAGGTTATCATAATGTGAAAATCTAAGATGAGAACAAGGGGGTCTGTGAATCTGTAAGATACAGTTCTGTTGGCGTGTCTAATACATCGGTATATGTGTTATGTACACAATGGTTCACTACTGAAAATACATGAAAGAGCTCTAATTGGCTTAAGAAAATAAAAGGGCTTGCATCTGATATTATCAGGAAAAAAGACTAGTCAAATGCTTTTTCAAGTTTTATGCAACTAAATAAAATCTTTAATACATAAGCTAGCTTTAAGATTCTTGGTAAAGCAATATTAGAAATGTCTTATGCATTGCCAGCATGCATTTAGTTTGCATCTATTAGTCAAGCAATTTCATACTTATCCCTGCCAAATACTATAAGGTGTCCAAGCTTGACATAGAGGTTACAAAACTATAAGCCCAGCCCAAAACAGAATCATGCTTGCTTGTGTAATTTTAATAAATAAGACATGGATAATGGTTTAATGAAAATAATTACATCTCAAAATATTTAGTAAAATTACCGTAACTTCTAATCTTGTGGCTTTAGGCAGTGTCGTCCATGGGCAATAAGGAGGTTTGTTTTGGGAAAGGACTCTTATCTTCTTTGTTTCAAAGCTGAACCATAAGCTAAGTTCCTCCCCAAGTCCAAGAATGAACAAGGACAGCCTGGAGGTTAGAAGCAGGATGAAGTCAGTTAGGTCATACCTTTCCCACTATCTCAGTTAGAACTTTGCAATGGCAAATTTCATAAACGTAAATGATGACTATTACAGTTTTCACAAATAATCTGGGTAAACAATTAAAATAAAATAATTAGGTAAGTGTAATGCGATAAATACTTATAGACAAAGTTGTCATACTTTATAATGTAAAGTTATATTAAATTCAGTAATAGATATTTATATTTCATTATTTGGATATTTTTCAATACAAAATATATTGTAGAACATTCCTTCTTTAAAAAAGTGTTCTTTTTAAAAGGTGAAAATTTTTTTCTAGTTCAAAGCTTATTTAAAGTTTATGTATAAAACAAGGTAAAAGAAACCAGGAAATGAGAGATGTAAAGAGAATTATAGAAATAAGTAGGTAGTTTTTGGTAAGAAAGTTTAGAGAGAAATGATCTTGTACTGTAAATATAGTCCTAGAATCAAATGACTTGTTGTTTAAGAAAGAGGAATGTTAAGGACAAACCAGAAAGTCTAAGCATGTCGTGAACACTCCACGTAAGTGACAATAAAGGATTTATTTGAACAAAAACCTTTTATATGATCAAGTTGTCTATAATTAAAGGAAATTATAATGGCTTTTCTACAGATGGGGTCTGATGTAAAAAAATATTTATGCACTAAAGAATTAGTTAGAAAAATACAATTTTCTTAAGGGATTGTTTTAATAAATTAAAAGAGATTATAATTTTTTAGCTAAAACTTCCGCTTTTATTGCATCTCGCTGTTTTTGGATTTCTCCTCCCCTTCAAGGGGTGCAAAATACTAATCCTCACATCCAAATCATTTTCTGCTCATGTAAGTTTTCTTCCCTCAAGTTCTGTTTGCTGTGTCCTGATGCTAACAAAGTTTTCTTTCTTTCCTTCTTTCTTTTTTATTTTTTTGAGATGGAGTTTCACCCTTGAGCCCAGGCTGGAATGCAATGGCATGATCTTAGCTCACAGCAACCTCTGCCTTCCAGGATCACGTGATTCTACTGCCTCAGCCTCCTGAGTAGCTGGGATTCCAGTCACCTGCCATCACATGCAGTTAACGTTTATATTTTTAGTAGAAATGGGGTTTTGCCATCTTGGCCAGGCTGGTGTCAAACTTCTGACCTCAGGTGATCCACCTAACTTGGCCTCCCACAGTGCTGGGATTACAGGTGTAAGCCACTGCAACTGGCTAAGAATGTTTTCTTTAAAACATTAAATCCACCCCACCCCTGGGCACTCCCAAGCTAGCCCCAGCCTGACTGCCACCTAGCCCCAGGCTCATCTGCTCTCCCTGCTCTCTGAAGCCATTCTCAGGCCTGCATGGAGCCACCCTGCTGCCACCCTGCTGCCTCCAGAAAGCTGCATCATG